TCTTTTCTTTCAGGCTTTCATAATGAAGATTTCCTGTTGATCTGGTTGAAGAGGTCAGAAGAGAATAAGACTTATTATCTATTATCTGGAATTATATTTAAAGCTTGGTTTGAAACTGTACCTATTTTTTTCTTACATATTTATGTATAAACACACACATATGTATGTACATATATCTGTTCCTTCCACACGTCTCTCCATTTCTCTATCCACTTATGTATCCATTTAACTATTGATATTTAAATAGGTATCTATGTAAAATACCGCAGAATCACAGAACTCAGCACATAAAAATGCACTCCTGTGATCCCAGCTACTCAAGAGATGGAGAGTGGGAGAATTAAGGTTTAAAGCCAGCCTGGGATAAAAAAGTTGTTGAAACCCCATCTCAACATAAAAAGCCAGGCTGGGTGCATATCTGTAATCCTAGCTATGTGAAAGGGGTAAGTAGGAAGATTCACAGTCCAGATCGGCCTTGGCAAAAGCTTGAGACACTATCTCAAAACTAACTAAAAAGCCAAAAGAGTTGCCTGTGTGACTCAGGTGGTAGAACCCTTTTCTAGCAAATGGGAGGCCCTGAGTTCAAACCCCCCAAAGCGAAAAAAAAATCACAGGACTGGGAAGTCCTTAAGGTGATAACTATTTGCTTGACTTATACACAATCTCATAAGGTTTTGGGGTTGATTGAAGATGTCGCCAGGTTCAGATTTTGGAAGAGACTACATTAAAAAGGCCAGCAATAGTAAGTTGTCTGACTTCTCTCAGAGCAGCTCAGGGAAAGGTGATTTTACCTTAAACCCTTTGCTGCCTTAACTCTTGAAGCCTCAGTTCCACCTTGTACTTTTTTTTAAATTGTTGTTTTAATGCCAGCCACTGTTAGCTACTGTGAGGTCCAAAAGATAGGGATCAGGGACTGTGTTTGGGGGAGAACTTCAAAGCTCAAAGGGTTCACCTTTGGTGAACTTTGGCATGGTGCTGACTAGAATTACCAGAGTGAGGAGACCCTTGAGTAAGGGGACACAGAGTCAGCCAGCGTTCTGACTTGTCAGCTGCCTGCTAGAAAGTCTTATGTTAATAAAAACTAGTCCATTCTCTTACAGCTTTGGTTTCCAGTTACTAGTCCTGTTGGTGAAACCCTTAGCCTAGGGTGACTTGAGTAGGAACTCGTCAGAACTTGCTTCTTTCCTGGTCCTGCCTTCATTCTGGAGTGTTGTTTTCCTGATTGTGGGCTGAAATGGATGTGACTTGAACAGCTGACCTGATACGCCAACTGTAGAGAAGTCTTCCTAAAGCTCTCTTTCTACCTTCCCTTTTGTGTTTTAAGGCATCGTCTTCCTCAGATGGTTCCCTTGCTCAGAAGCCTCCTCACCTATGTGTCGCAGAGTGCTGTAGTCGTGGTGTTCACCCAGCTACTCACTGCTCATGGTCTTGCCCTCAGTTCCCGTCTGAGCTGACACTGCCGGCACTACTATATGGTTTCTTTCTCCTCAGGAGATTTCATTAGAACCTTTTGAAATGTCCTATTTGGAACCTGTCTTTCTTCCCTACTCCCAGACACCATATTGCAAATATCTGTCTGTGACTATGTGTTTGCTGTTTATATAACAGAATTTTATAGTCTCTCGTAATATACTTGTCATCTATACCTGCATTTATAGCATGTACTAAAATCCTTTACTAAACTTGTAGGATTTTCCAATATTTTACTGTTATTTGAGACAGAGTCTCACTGTGTATCCCAGATTAATATCAAACTCACAGTCCTTCCTCAGCCTTCTGAGTGCTGGGATTGCAGGCATGTTACCACTATATCCTCTCTGTTTAGAGGATAAGATTAGTAAGTCATAACATACTTTTGGGTAGATCTTGCTGCTCATTACAAAGCTGTCTCTAATCCAAAAAATATTCAGTGTTTATATTCTAGACATATCCATTATGAATTTTATGCTGTTTTTCACAACCAGAGGAAATGGAGCAAACTTCTTTGGGTGAATTCTTGTGTGTGGACCTGTATACATTTTTCTGTTCTCCTGTTCAGGAATAGGTGACTTCAAACAACCTCCAAATGCTTTTATTTTGATTGGCTTTCACCATATATTCTGAATAAATATAGATGGCATATTTTCTCTTGTGCTTTCCACACAAGTATGTAAGTAGGACGATCACGTGAAAGTTTTTTCTGTTTTTTAATTCTTGGGCTGCTCTAGGTGGCTCAAGCCTATAATCCGAGCTATTCCCAAGGCAGAGATTGAGAGGATTGAGGTTTTCAAGGCCAGCTTGGGTAAACAGTTGGTGAGACCCTATCTCAACCAATAAACTAGGCATGGTGGTATGTGGCTGTCATCTGGGAAGTGTAAGTAGGAATATTGCACTTCAGGCTAGCCCAGGCAAAAAGTGGGAGACCCCATCTGAAAAATACAGCTAACAGGGCTGGGAGCATGACTCAAGTGGTAGTATGCCTGCCTAGCAAGTGCCAGGGCCCTATTTTAAACCCCTGTACTGACAAACAACAACAAAAACCCCATGTAAACCACAGGGTTAACTTAGCAGGTATAAGTTGGTCAAATCCTGGACATTGCAAAGAAACTGGCCTTTCTTTGTCTCCTTTGAATATCTACTCTATTACAGTGTCTTCCTGGGGAATCTAAAGTCACATAGCTCCTCCCTGCCGATGTGACTGGCCCCTGTAAAAGCCTGGGACATGGTGGATGTAATGGGACAAACCTGGCATGATGACCATGTCTGTGACCCTCACATGCAGGAGGCTAAGGTAGGAGATGTGCTACACAGTGAGTTTCAGACCAGCCTGGGCTACATGGCAAGACCTTTTCTCAGAAAAAGAAAAATAAGTAAATAAAACAAAAAGCCCTGGATACCAAGTTGGTACTTGTACTTTGTGTTACACATCCTTGCTGGGAGGATTAAGCACTGTTGGTCCAGCACCACTGGGATATGGCCACTGGAAACTTGTGCCTGGCCTATACCTGGACTCTGCCTTTTATCTTTGCTAGTGAAAATCTGTGCTCTTTCACTATAATACCCCACAGTCAGTAGTATGATAGCGTTTCTGAGTTGTGTGAGTGTTAGGAAGTCATTGAACCCAGGAGTATTCTTGGGCATCCTGACTCAAAGATTAGAGAGTTCTGTTCCCCAAGAATACTTAGAGAAAGGAACTGCCTCGTCTCTCTCTGGTATGCTGCATTGTTCCTGTTCAAAGAAAGTTTATATTTATGTTAAAGCTTATCAAGCACATTATCACTTCTAAAGATGTTTAGTTGGTTTTTTTTGTTTTATTCCTGTGATAAAACATATCAACCTAATGATTTCCTAATTTTTCCCCTTTCTTAACAGTACTCATGCTTAACTGTTATTTTTTTAACATATGGCTGTCTTTCACTTATTAATGTTTTAGTTATGATTTTATTATGAGTAGTTAGTCTTCTATCTTTGTCATATATGGGCAAATGTTTTAATTACTATAATTTTATAAAAATAAGCTACCTCTCTAAAATCTGCTACTTCCTGGCTCCTTAAACAGAGTACTGTTCCTAACTTCATATTTTCTTGACTCTCTGTCCCCACCTTGAACATTGTGGGGTGTGGTGGCCCTGAGGCCCCGCTGAGGTGCAAGCGGCTTCTCACTGTACCAAGTGCTCCCTGGTTGGCTCTCTGCTTGGAGTGCTCACTTGGGATCACTTTCTCTGTTTTTTCCTGTGCCTTCAAGTCCCATCTCTGGTAATTTCTAGGGAGCCTACCTATATGAGTCCTTCTCCTCTCTTTACTTGGCTCCTTTTCAATGGCTATGGCCTTAGAGGCTATGTATTTAAGCTTGTTACATATTGATTTTCAAAATGAGCGTGAATAAGCTCTGAGTAAGAGCCTTGGGGGCCCACTCTCTAGATGAAAAGTGTCTGTTTTATGTCATAGGTTTTAAATGTCCCTTCCAGATTCTTGGAAAGAACCCTTCACCCCATGCTTTTTCAGTTGTCACTATTCTAGAGAATTGAGTTGTGAAGTTGATTGGTTCATTTGTTCATTTGCTCATTCATTTGACACTCATTTGTTGAACTTCTGCATGGTGCTATGTATATGAGATCAGTGAACGCAAAATGCGGAGTGTAATGTAGCCTCTGCCTACCAAAGAATGTGGGGGAGCAGTCTGAATTTGTTGTGAAAACTTCTCATGAGGACATCTTGGGTTTTATTCTCTATGGTAATAATTTTAATTTGGAATGTTGAAGTATTAGCAATAAGACTGTTGTATAGAGTTAATATAGCAAGTCAGAGCCTGCTGACCTTAAAAAGACTTGCTTGTGAGGTGGGTCCTTGGCTGTCATCTGGAATCTTAGTTGTCAGAGTCCTCCCAGTCAGCTGTAGGTGATGGGGTTCACTGTGCCATGATGTCTGCTTTCCCTCTGCTGCCCTCTGGGAGCCTGGGATTTTGGCATGTATTTGCCTGCATGACCAGTCCCTAGTAAGAACCCCATCACTGAGTCCCTCATCTGCTAACCTGGGCAGAAGCAGTGTACACTTATGCTGTGTTTTCATTCCTATTGCTTGGGGAAACAGCATGCTGTGTGTGAAGAGGGTGTGTGTGTGTGTGGGAAGCAGATTGTTCTTGAGTGCATAAGGAGCCCTGCATGGAGAATGCTCCAGTCTTACACCTGCCCTTCCTGCTAAGAGTCAGCTGTGAGTCTACTGTGTGCTGTGCCATGTCTTTGCAGGCTGACAGCTGTGTGCTGGGTCCCCTCACTCAGCTCAGTACTCACTTTCTACATTTGATCAGCTCATTGAATCTTCCTGACAGTCATCTTCTGTGAAGTCAGTCAGTATTCCCCTCACCATTGGCAAATGAAGCTGGGCTTATAGCTCATGATTGTATGTCAGGATCTGTTTTTCCCGATGTTGGCATCACATGTTTTGTTCTATTGCTTCTGATGTTCAGGGACATCCAAGTGAGGAAAACCACTGAGTTCTGTTCATTGTCTTTCTCACTTCAGGTACGAGCACATCCTCTTGGAACCTGACCCAGTTCCAGCATATGCGCTGAAGCTGCTGGTGGCCATGACTGAGCACAACCCAGCATTTACCAGGTACTTTGTCTTGTTTCTTAGCTACAAAATAAGTTTCATGTATTTTGAAAGTAGAATTAGAGGTGTAAGATTATAAAAGGCCAGTGTTTGAGCTGCCAAAGTGGTAGTTTTCTTTATGCTGTTTTGGCTCTTATTTTCATATTTTTAATTCCTTATTTGAGTTTGCATCTATCTGAGCTGGGGTGTAGCTCAAATGCTACTTGCCTGGCAAGTGAGGGTCCGGGTTCAATCCCTTGTATCACAAAACAAACAAAGCCAAGAGTATGACTTTGCATCCTTTGGACAGTATGTGCTTCAAAATGATAGAGTCTTTAAAGTGAATAATCAATACTGCATAATTTTTAAAAAGTCAGTTGGTGCCAGACACTGGTGGCTCATGCCTGTAATTCTAGCTACTTAGGAGACAGAGATGAGGAGGATCGAGGCTCGAAGCCAGACTGGGCAAATAGTTCATGAGACCCTATCAAAAAAAAAATACCAAAAACCAATCCTAACCTAGCAAGTGTGAGTCCTGATTTCAAACCCCAGTGCCCCCGGCCCCCAAAAAAGTCAATTGGTGCCTTATTTATACTGAACACTTTATTAAATCTCTGTGGTATTTATTGATCTTGCTACCAAGGTGCCACACTTTGCTTTCTAAGCAGTAGAGAACCCTTGCCTTTGTTAAATGTGTAAACACAATGATGGAACATTTCCTTAGAACTTAGTCACCCAGGATCTTTTTGAGTCCTGTATAGGACAGTTTGTCCTAGAGAACACCGGGGCCCAGAAGAGGAAGTCAGGAAGGATCCTCCTTTCTTTAATCAAGGAAGCAAGCATTCTTGCAGAGGGGATGTTAGAGAGCCTTGTGGGCTTGAATTATATCTTTAGGAGATGTGCACCTCGAGGTCGCCAGCTGGTCACATGGTTCCAGCCACCTTCATTTCCTCTGCCATGCTGTGTGGGTCTGTAAGGACAGTGCTGTGTCTGTCCCCTTGTTACTAACTAACAAAAAAGGCTATTTTAGAGAGTGTGCACATGCAGTGAAGTGCTGAACCCAAACTGTGTCCTCAGTGGATAAACTAGGCACATGGGGCTGTGACGGAGTCACAGCAGTGCCAGGATGTGCTTGGTCTTTGGGTCACCCGTGGTGCTAGGGTTTCACAGTGCCCAGGCCATTTGCCTTCCCTCATCCCTCTCCAGAAGGTGCCATGCAAACACTGCCTTGTACTCTCTCCCGTGTCACAAAGAACGTGCAGGTCATCGACACTTTTTTCATTTTTCTCACTTGAAGCTCTGTGTTTCTGTGGCCCCTTAGAGCCTTGCAGAATCATCTCCCAGATGGCACCATTCTCACTTCCTAAAGAAGTCCAATTCTGAAGAGTGAATCTGCTAAAAGTTACGTAGAAATTAAACAGTTGGGTCTTTTCTAGACATTTGACATGAAGTGCAAATGTTATAGCTAAGGTTATCCTTTAATAAGATTGGACAGATTACTTTTACTTTATTTATGTTTTTGAAGTGCTGGGGATCAAACCAGATGTTAGAAAAGGGTTTTGCGGTGTGGCTCAGGCTGGCCTTGAACCTGTGATCCTCTTGCCTCAGCCTTTGGAGTGCTGGGATTATGAATGTGAACCACCATGCCTGACTTGAGTTTACTTTAGTAAATTAGATAGCTCGTTCCTGCAGTGTGCTTTCTAGAGTCCTTTTCTTTCTTTCCAACTCACTATTAAAGTTGTCTGAATTTCCTCACATTGGTGGTGGTAGGGAACCCTAGAGAAGTAGAGACAGAAAATTGATGTCTTCTATAGAAATGTTTTATTTTAGAAATGATTATACATGAGGTTAATAAATTAATTCACTCTTGTTTATTCCCCCTCTGAAAACTGTATTACAAACCGAACTGAGAACTAATTTTTAGAATTTTTGTTTTAAATAAACAGTATTTGAGTATATTATTTTTGTTTTAAATTTTAGCAATAAAATCCCAAGGTTCCCTGGCTCTGCACTGCCTCACAGGTCTCTCCCCCAAGGATAATAGTGGCTATTGTTTTAGTGTGTGTTTTTCCTGAACAATTTTGCACTACTTAAATTACACACACACACACTAAAATATACATATACACTAAAATATGTAGCTTTGCTTTGTGATGGTGGATTTTTAAAAACTCAGTACCATTCTGTATGTGTTTTCCTGGAAATTGCTTTTTTATTTATCAAAATGATTTGGAGATATTTTCATACTAGTATTTATTCATATTGTTGCTAATACCTTTGCTGAACTAATACATAAAATTGGATTTCATTTTATTTTGCATTCATCAAACTACTGATAATATGGAATCTCTTCTAATGTTTATTCGGTGTGCTAATTAAAATGTAAATGGTGCGCAGCCTTCAACCTTCAGTTCTGCTAAGAATGTGTTCTACAGAAAAGCTTACATGTATACAAAGATTTCCTGAGGCAAATAATTTTTAAAAATGAGAAAAATTTATTCGATATAAAATTAAGCTATAGTATAGGCTTAATATAGAATAGTGTAACAGTTTATCAGGGTGAGATCTTCCTTCATATGTATATATCTTAATTTATCTAGTTACTGTCTAAAGGACAGACTTGAGTTGTTTCTAATCTTGTGCTTTTACAAACATTAATCTTTAGCATATATCACCACTCTGGGCACTCTAAGGAGATACTCCTGTCACCAGTTTGTGTGTGGATGTACTTTTCACTTTGATGGTAGCATGCTGTCTTTACCATTCTGCACCTCTTTTTAAAATAGAACTGCTGGATTGAAAGAAAATGCGCTTATCACCTGTATCTCTTTTTCGCAGATTCATAGTGTTGCATTTTTGAATGCTCCATATTGACTTAACAAGTTCCCCTTTGGTGACTTGTTTTTCCCTAATGTTTTAGTATTTGAGACAGAGGTATGACTAGTGCATGGGAATCAGCTGTTTATCACATGTAGGAATGTATGCATAGGGTAAATGGGTAGACGAGGAGTGGTTTAATCAGAGGGCATCAGCGATGGTCCCCAGGCCTGTCTGCCCATTAGTATTGCCTGGGAATCAAAACTTGAGACGCCCTGGCTGTATGCCACTCAACTAAACCACTGACTCCTAGACTGGACGGTAACTGTTGGCATTCCTCATCTGATTAACGGCAAATGTGTGAGAACCATTAGCCCGAGCATTTCGAGTATGGGAAGGTGTTGTCAAATTGCCGCCAATCTAGTTTGGACCAATTTTCCCTCCACCAGCTGTGTATAACATGGCAGTCATTGAGACACCTTCATCAAAGCTGTGATGACATTTGTCATTCTGACATGTAAAACTTGAGTCTCTGATATTAATTTCTTAATTTATTACATTGTGATTAGGTAATTTTTTGTTCTTTTTCTGGTTTTTAACATTTGGTTTTATTTGTGTGCTAATATTTGGGTGGTTTTTATAAATGTTCTATGTTTGTTACCATATCCAAAACAAAATTGGGCATAGGGCTGAGTGAGGACTGTCACCCTTAGTTTTGGCAAGTGTCTAAAATGGTAACTCATTAAGCTTAGAGATTTCCTCAGTGATTTAGTAGCAGTGTTTTTTAGGTAAAATGCTTGATGGTAAATGTATATCAAGAGTAGAATTTCTTAGTTGCTTTTTGCAAATACAGTTCTAGTCATAAAAATAACCATGAGCCATTTGTTGTAAGTGTAACTTGTTAATTGGGTCCTTCACCATCATGTTTTTCAAAGGATATTTATCTTAATTTAGCTCATATACATGAAGAGTTTAGAGTACCACACAACAACTCCTGGAACATTAAACCATCCTGCATCGAGTGAAACTTTACTAGTTTTATGTGTTTATTCTTATTTTATAGAATTGTTAGTGGATAAAGAAACTCTTGAAAGCTTAGTCATACCACTGAGGATTTATTTTTCCCCCCAAAAAAAGGAAAATGATCCAGTCTATCTTGTAAATTGCTATGGTTTGAGTGTGTCTCTCAGATATTCATATATGGAACTTTAATTCCTCAGTGCAACAGTATTAGGCGATGGGGCCTGCTATGAGACACTTGGGGATGATAGTGGGGCCATCATGAATATATTAGTGACCTTCTTGTGGGAATGGGTTAGCTATTCTTGGGGTTTGGTCCCATTTTCTGTCTTCCACATCTGCCCTGTTGCCTTCTGACTTCTGCACAAGGTCTTTACAGATGTGGCCACCCAATCTTAGACTTCTCAGCTTGTAGACTGTGAGCCTAAATAAATTTCTTTCCTTTATAAATCAATCACCAGTCTCAGGTATTCTGTTATAGCAATGGAAAATAAATTAGGACATACAGAACAAGAATTTTATTTAAAAAAAAAAAAAAACCAAAAACAACAAACACTGCTTTTCTCCTGAATTTACTTTATTATTCACTTCATAGCAGAAAAGCAAATTGTTTGCTGCCTTGGTGCAGTTTCACTGACAGAAGGAATGTGTCAACTCCCGTGATCTCTGCTCTTTTCTCTCTTTTTAATTGTACAGTAGGTCGCACCAAGCCATTCCTCTCAGAGACAGCAATACTCCAGTAGCTTGTTTCCATTAAGAGCTAATTAGCTCTCAGTAAATCATCCTGAGCATAGAAATTGAGTTTTAATTTGGAGTTCTTTTGGAGCAAAATTTAGCTCTTTTCCTGAATTGCCAATATTTTTTTTTTTGTTTATGTTCTATCTAGGAAGAATTATTTTAGTTTGCTCAAAATGTTAGGACTCTTTGTTCTATGGCAGATTCATAAAAATGCTTCTTAGAAAAATGACATTTAGGGATGTCCAAAATGAAGTTCAGGTGATTCAATGATGTCCCCTTCAATAGAAACCCCTGATTCTGTAGTTGCCATCTCCAGATGACTTCTCTTCTCTGATTCTTGGTTCATTGGTTCCTTTTTTTTTTGGGCAATACTGGGGCTTGAACTCAGGGCCTCATGCTTGGCAGGCAGTGGCTCTACCACTTGAGCCACAATACCAGCCCTTTTTTTT